TGACTCTGGTGTGGGTACGTTTTTACTCAGGATAGACGGAAACACCGAGCAATTTGTTCATCAACAACCAAGACGACGGGTTCGGGCAGGCGAAAATCTGCGTGTTGTGCTGCGCCAACGAAGCCATCGCGGTGACTGCGTTTACGAAGGAGGGGGTGCCGTTTTTGGTTGACGGGGTGATTTGCCGGTCTTGTGCCGAGGGGCTGCACGACCCGGAGAAGGTCAAGAAAGGGTTGATGAAGGCAGTACCGAATAACAGCTCGTTGCGAGGGCTCTTAGGAGGTGGATCAGCTTCGGGGACGAGTGGCAAGGCGGGTGATGCTGGGTTCTACAGTTTAGACGAACACGAAGGGCAAGAAAAAAATATTAAAACCGGTGAAGAACAAACCGCTGGCGCGGAAACGAGCGGCGGAGGCGTTTTAACGGAAACGCAAATCGTACCGGATAATTACAACGTTTCTTCTGGTGTCGCCACGGAAGGCGCGCACAGTGCAAGTCGTTTTGAGGAGGCCGGGGAACATCAAGAGGTGTTTGTGACGCACGTTTGTGCCGCTGGTAGTGATCATGGGGACAATAGTTGCAATTTCTATCGGGCACCTGTTGCAGTGTCGAAGGAGGTCGCTGGTGTCTTGTCGCGCAGAATCATCACAATGGAGCTGGCAGGGAGGAGTTGCAGATGCGCGACGACACCTCGCTCAGGCAACAACAGTCAAAACGGGTCAGTCACACCAGCCTTAGGGGTTTTCCGATCTTCTGAAAGAAGCTCCTGCTCTGAAGATGTTGAGAAATCTCCGACTTCTGCCTTGAGTCATCATGGAGTGCAACTCGACATTGCGGACGATTTTTCGTGGCTATCAGGAGACGAAGAGGAGCAAACGCCTGGCACTTCTTCCGCGTGGTCATACCGGCGGACGAAGGCGGCAAGAAGTACTTCTAGAACAAACTGCTCTACCAACAAGATTCAAATCGCCGAAACAACAAGCCCTTTCCACGACGACCTGAGAGAAGGGTCCCATCAAATGCAGCAACAGCAAGTCCAGCCTCCCGGTGGCGCGTTTCTGATGACAACCCCGACCGGGGACCCACTTCTGAACGCCAGTGGCCAGCAGATTGTGGTGGACATGTACGGGAGACCCATTGATAAGGACGGAAACGTGATCGGGCCCAGCATCGTCCCTAACGCGCCACAACCGCCGGGGGGTGGTGGAGGTGGAAGTGTGGCCGCGCAGTCTGGCATGCAGCAACCCGCCGCGCAACCGGGAACAGCTTCGCAGCCGGCGTTTCAGACCCAGCAGTCGATGCAAGTTCCGGGAAGTACTATGGGGTTCAATCAGCAGCCCCACAACAAGAATTTTCCACAAACTTCCACCCAACATCAACTCTCCGGAACGGCGAAACCTTCTGATACGGCAACCTCCAACCTCCACCTCTACTTCCAGCAGTCCCTCGCGATTCTCCTCAAAAACGCGCAAATCCAGGCAAAGCAAAGGTACAGCAACTGTGCGCGGTTGTGCTGCGTGTTCTGCTGCACGTGTTGCGGTATTATTGTTGGGCTGTTACTTGCCGGCGCGATGACCGCGGCCGCTTCTACGAATCTTTTGCTCACCGAGTTTGATTTGGAGGAGAACAACGAGAACCGCGCAATCCCTTTGTCCGTCGCCGGGTACAATGGGCAGATCGAGCGGGAGTTAAATCTCCGCACCGGGACCCCAATCTACGGCCCAACGTCCGACATCCGACTCCCAACCGACCGCGACAAGATCTACATTGCGAATCGCACGGCGGACATTGATGCGGAGCCGGACATTTACTTTCGCTACCATTTCCGGGAGTTGAAGAAGAACTTGCTCATGAAATCCGTTGATTTACGGTTTCAAGACATTGGGGCTGCGCAGACGAAGGTGAATTTCATATCCTGAGTAAAAATGTACCCACACCAGAGTCAAGATGGGAAATCCGCTAGACAAATCCGTAAGCTTTGGCTGTTTCGCATGACAAATTTGGACGCGTAGTGCAGTGCTGTTTGAGCTAGCTAAGCAGCATTACAGATCTAGTATCTCATGCTGATTGGCGCATTACAGATTTCCAAATCGCATTAGAAAATGCTTCTCATGGGGCTCCGCATGAGAAACATTTTAAGCATGCAGAGTAGCATGACAACTATGGTGTGGGTACGTTTTTACACAGGATATTTCAACTCCGTTGAACAGTTCCCCATGTACATGCTGTACCAGATATTACAGTGAAAAATGCCCCCATCCCGGAATTTGCAGAAGTTTGTCATGCAAAGTTTCCAAACGAAAGCTTTTTGTCTTGCATCAAAGGATTGCGAGCGTTTCTGATGCAGAATGTGGGTGCGCAAGGTGCCTTGTGCATAACAGACCCGGCTGCTGTTGGGCTGCTTCGCAACACAAATTTGACCTATTCAGCATGGAAATTCTGTGATGCTGAGATATGCAAGACGGGGAGTGTTTCCGTTGGAAAGGTTTGCAATACAAATGCTGCCAAGCTGGGGGTCGGGGCGTTTTTCATTGTAATACCAGATTGGGGAAGAACACGTGGCGAGTCTAGCAAGTATCAATGCCGACAACACGCATCCACAGTTGCTGAAACGAACAGTTTATCCTGTGCAAAAGTACTACTGCTCGTACTAATTGCACGAGATATGCATGTTAAATCCAACTTTCTACCTCAAATAGCATGACAAATTGAATTTTATTCTTGGGAAAATTTGTAATGCGTTTTATACTAGTGCGATACTTTTGCAATGCATACAGTTCCTTCCAGTTCAGATTTTGTCAACCTGTACACGACGAAAATTCCTTTGCTGGAGAAGTTCGGGTACCAGTTGAACTATATCAAATGCAAGTATGTCTGGGTCGGGAAGGATCCGAACTTGCGATGCGCATTTTCGAACACAGAAAAATCTCTCATGCATAGGTAGCAAAAGCTGCCCACTTTCTGTCACCAAAATAGGAGATTTCTCATGCGGGTTCGGCATTGCGGAAGCTTATCGAAAACTGTGATGCTAGAGCTTCCATGCCAGACCTTCTCTGTCATGCAAAAAGAGCATGACTCTTCCAGACCCAGATACTTTTACATTTGATAAACTACTGTCCGGCGCAGAATTTCCGGTTTTCGCACATCAACCCGAAAACCGATTTGGACGAGGAGAAGATGTGGAAGACGGTTCTGCTATCCTATGTAAAAACGTACCCACACCAGAGTTGTAATGCAGATTTGCAACGACAAAGACATTTGTGATGCGCATCCCCATGAGAGTCATTTCCAATCGTGTTTTGGAATTTGCGATGCTGTGAACAGGATCAGCAGTTCGATTTGTGATGCGGCTCTCCTTGCTAACTTGCACTACCTTACGGACTGAAACTTGTCACGCGTGACTCCCAAAGCTCCTAGGTTTGTGTTGCAAAGTCCCCATCTTGACTCTGGTGTGGGTACGTTTTTACTCAGGATATCTGCTCGAATCCTACGGGGTGGACGAATCGCACTTGTACTACCACGGACCTTTATCTACCATCACGCATTCCAAGGCGCGGTTCCGGAATGAGGAAGCCGGGCGCGGTGTTCCCGGAGCCATCTGGGACTCGGGCTACGAGTACCACAATTTGTGCGGTTTGCAGACGCGAAGTTGCCAGTTTTCGAATTTTTCCTTCTCGAACAATTACACGATTTCCGTGCCGGAGGGGTATGCAAGAAAAAAACTGTGTAAGTGTAAGCCTGTGATGCAGGAAATGCAAAAGTGTATCCGCTTGTCATGCTGGATGTGCGTCATAGGCAACTTTCATGCGTGTTTCCACGTGCTAGCTGCGCATGACAGGTTTTTCCTGTAATGCAAAACGAACTTGTTTTTCATATTCATTTCCTACAAAGTTGCACTTACGCATTTTTTTTTCCTGGATAAGGGGCTATACGCAAGCAGTGCGTCGGTATCGGCTACGACTGACAACTCGTTTTTCAAAACATACACGCCAGTATGCGGAGGTGCCGGAAGTAGTTCATCTTCGGGGGGTGATTCGACAAGTCCTGTTCCGACAGTCATCCCGCAGCTGGGGAATTTGAAATCCTGGCGGAAACGCTGGCAGTCGAGAAATCAAGTGTTACTAATGGAAAGGTACTCTGCTCAGGAGAGGAAGGAGATCTTGCAAATTTTGAACACCTTCTGCGGGGGCGCCATGCCGACGAGCGTAGTCCCATCGGGGGGCACCGCGGCGACGGCGGCGCAGAGTGAACAGTGCAGGAAGTTGGCGGAGAAGTACGCGACGGTGAACTTGTGGTGGGAGAAAGGGACGAGTGGTGGAGGGGCAGGGATTACATCGTCGTCGTCTTCCTCAAATAAAGATTTCGACCTGTCCTGGCTTGGGATTGCGGTGCAGAATGAAAATGGTATCACCGTGCAGCAGGACGGCAATACCAATACCTCTTACTGGTCGAATCAAGCGCGGTACACGACCATGGGGATCTCACTCTCCAATGTCGGCGATTTTTCGCAGGTAGATCCAGAGCTGCTGCAAACCACGCCTAGTACGGGGCAAGAAATAAACAAACCTCCTCTCACCGGCCTCCAGGGAAAATTCCAATACGCACAGAAGCTCTACCGCCTGCAGGCGCAGCCCGTATCAACTGCAAAAAAGTGTCTGGGCGGTCTGGAAGATTGCAACTTGTCATGCTTTTTGGGACACTAAAGAAATCTGTATTGCATGACCAGCATCAAGAAGGGTCCAGTTTGTGCTACACGGACAGGTCATTTCTCATGCGGAAGGTGCATCAGGAAGCCCTCTAAAAGTCTGTGATGCTAGGACATGCATTACAGGCATCATGGATCTTCTCCCAGACCCAGACATATTTGCAATGCATATCCCGAAACGAGTAACAAATGCTTGAAAACCTCCGACCC